TTGGAAAATAACTCAAAAACATAAAAATAATTCAAAATGGCCACAAGCATAGGTTGTGGATCATGTGTAATTCCCTGAATGTCAGCTGTAATTTTAACTCTTTCTCTCTCAGGAAATCATATTGGAATACATGTGAGACAGTGATTTTCAAATCACTTGTGTGATTTCAAAATGTGTGTGTGTGTGTGTGTGTGTGTGTGTGAGTGTATGTACACAAACATGAATATACCTAAATAATTCAAAGCTTTGGTGACTTATTATGGGTAAATTATTTGTGATCACTTCATATCAAAACATGACACACAAATGTGTTATTTCACTGAGGCTGAAAAACACAAAAATCAAAAAACAATCATTCAAGTCTTCGTTCTTGAGCTCCTTCCACTGAATTCACATTTATACCAATTGTTCACGGGACAGTCTTTGAAGAAAAAATATGTGGAAGAAGTCATTTTATAGACCTAATGTTTAAGTTTTAATATGCTACTGAATTGTAACCCATGTGGAAATACCAGCTAAGAGCCGTCCATGAAGCCTAGCCCAGTGAGATCCAACAATTATGGGTTGGTGTTCAACTGGATGAGCCTTCTTTATGTTGAAATAGGAGGCAAATGGCTTTATAGGACTGCATGAAGGCACAGGTGTGAAAAAAAAGCAGCAATTATTTTTGCTTTATTTGGCATTGGGCAGGCTTCAGTTGGAAGAAACCATATTTAATTTTCCTGTCACGCTGTATAAAGAGAAAAAACTTGGAGCGTGTTCAGAGGAGAACAGCGACTGATTAAAGGTTTGTAAAATTAGACCTATATGAAATTGTGAAAAGAAGTGGGCATGTTCAGTCAAATGCAAGCCACTCAGGCAGGATGAACAATTACCTGCAAGTTATGTAAAGAGATGCTTCCCAAGCCTGAGGTTTGGGATAAATGCAAAGTTAAATTGCAGGATTAAGAACACAAAACAAAACAAAAGTCAGAGCAGTGGAAGAAACTAAATACTGTAAAAACAAAACTAAACAAAACAAAACTAAAAACATTTTAAGAAATTGATGAATGAAGCAGTCTATAATTCAGACTTTTGCAAAAACGATCATGAAAACAATTCAATTTTGTACTTATTAAATAGAAATAATTTACGAAATAGAAAAAGCATTCGCTGGATTGCATTAAAAAGGAAAAATCTCTAAGCGAATTAAGTCAGACAGAACAAATCCTATAATTTCACTTATATGTGGAATCTAAAACATCAAACAAATGAACAAACAAAACAGACACAGACATAGATTCATAGATACAGGAAACCTACACTAGTTACCAGAGCCGGGCGAGGCTGGTGAGGGGAGGGGGTTTAGCAAAATAGGTGAAGGGAATTAAGAAATACAAACTTCTAGTTGTAAAATAAGTCAGGGTGGTGTGATGTTTAGCGTAGGACAGTTGAACATACTGCAGTAGCTTTTTATGGTAACAGATGGGAACGAGATTTGTCATGGGGATCTATCTTCCCAGAATGTGTAAAAATACTGAACCCCTACGATATACACCTAAAACAAATAGGATATTGTATGTCAATTATACACCGATTAAAAGAAAAGTAAAAATCATCAGATTAAGTATGAAGAATAGTTTTAAGGAAAAAAAAGGTGTATCTTGCGGTCTTCTCTGGGACCCAGGATAGCAGGAACAGAAACTGTAAGTCTGCCCTCAGAATAAGGGGAGCTCCTGTGTGTGTAGGGTGGGGAGGCGGCGTAGTGAGCAGTTTCCCTGACCTGCTTTACCTGTTTTACCAGGAATCCCATGACACAATGGTTCTCTCCAGAGTGGTCCCGAACTGTTATTCTTTCTGTTTGTCCAGGGGAAATCGTTTTCTCTCTGAAGTATTTACTGCTTTTTGAAAATCGTGTTGGACAAAGACATAAACAAAAATTTATTCTCCAGTTTACACTCTTTATCCTTATATGCAAAGGGAGAAAGATGAAACCACAAAGTTGGCACCATTTTCTTTTACTTTAAGGCTGTTCCATTAGCCTGATGATAACTTGTTTTTTAACTTAGAAATGTAGATGATCTAACAATAATCTCATTTAAGAGTTCTGGTTCCCTATGTTTGACGTTTGACACTTGAACCCTGTGTTTGATATGATTCCAGCACTAATTACAATGTGTTTTTCCCCAGGCTAAGCTATTCTCAGACCCCAGCCGGGTGTTCTAGAATTCAACTTTTCTGACTCTGACTCTACCTGGGATAGTATCGCAGCCCAGTTAGGGATCCTGACCAGCGAGACTGCATCGCTACTTCAGAATCAATCCCAAGTGCAGGCTGCTACACGCGCTTCTGACCTACGAGCTCTAACTTGGAAGTTTCCACAACCCTGTCACTGGGTTCGACTAACTTGCTAATGTGGCTCACACTCAGAGAAACATATTATTTACTAGATCAGCAGCTTATTGTAAATGGATATAACTCCTCCAAGGAGCCCTAACTTTTTCCTTCCTCTACGCCGGTTCCATAGCACCTCCGTACAATTCACCGACAAAAATTAATGATTAATTCAGTTAATGCTGAGTTCTGTTGATTGTATCATAAAAGGACCCAGATCCAAGTTATAAAAGCAGGTAACACCCTCAGGTGTGCAGTTACCACACCAGCAGCCCTGGTGATAGGACAATAATATGCTGTAGGGTTTCACAGGGCAAAGTCCTGTTAGGACATTCTGATGAAGCTGTTAACAACATCAAAGTCCCAGACAGCACTGGTGTCTGTTGGGCCTACTGAAGACCAAAACAGATTAGTGATAAAGCAAATATGGTATCTGTAACTTTTTTAACTACGTGAGATCCACGTGAAGAGTGTTAATGTGCGGGCTCACGTACTAATCTTTTCCTTCTTAAAAATAAAGTTGGGATACTCTGAGTCTTAGCTTCTTGTTTGGGCCCCCTATTTGCTAATTTGGTTTTATTAACCTGTTTTGATGTCTTCCCTCCTACCAGTAATTTTCTTTCTTTCTTTCTTTTTTTATTTTTAAAAGATTTGTTTTAGTTATTATTTGAGAGAGAGAGAGAGAGAGAGAGAGAGAGAGAGAGAAAGCAAGTGCAGTGGGGAGGGGCAGGGAGAGAGAAACCTAAACAATGTGCTGAGCATGAGCCCAATGTGGGGCTCGATCTCATGACCCTGAATCGAGACCTGAGCCAAAACCAAGAGTTGGAAGCTCAACCAACTGTGCCAGCCAGGCGCCCCCTACCAGTAATTTTCTTGTTGCCATTATGTTATAATCTCAGGGTCCTGGGATTGGGCCCCACATAGGGCTCCCTGCTCAGTGGGGAGACTGCTTCTCCCTCTCCCTCTGCCTGCTGCTCCTCCTGCTTGTGCTCTCTATCAAATAAATAAATAAATAAAATCGCTAAAAAAAAAAAAATTTACAAAGTGCCAAAGGTGATGGAGGACTTTTCAATGGTATGCCATAAGCATTTTAAATTTCAGCTAATTGATAGAAGTACACCTGTGTTTTATTTTTCACTAGCAAAATATGGTCAAAACACTCCTACAGAACATTCCTGTTCACAGAAGATGCTATACAACACTGGACACCTGACTGCAAACCAGTAGTTTATTTGTTCTACGGCTAAGGTACGGTCTGCACCAAACCATCTTGCAAGCACAGAGTACACAGGGCTCAGCCTGCCACTTGTCACTGTGGCTCAGGCGAGGATCAGGAAACAGCAGCCTTTAAAAATGTACAGAAAAAACCATCTCGTTCACATGGCAGAGCAAAGAATGGTCTCACTATGTGGTTATTTAAATGCTTAAGCAGGGCAGCCCGGGTGGCTCAGCAGTTTAGTGCCGCCTTCAGCTAGGGCGTGATCATGGGGACCTGGGATCGATTCCCACGTCGGGCTCCCTGTGTGGAGCCTGTTTCTCCCTCTGCCTGTGTCTCTTGCCTCTCTGTCTCTCATGAATAAATAAATAAAATCTTAAAAAAAATAAATGCTTAAGCAGATACATAGTTTTCTGAGAAAAATACAGGTCAAATACTAATCCTGGCTGGTGGCACCTCTCTAGAGTAATCCCATAGGGCAGCGAGGTAGAAGTTACCTGGGCAATGATATACGCCAGGCTCTAAGTTTTAAAAAACAACTAATGTAACAGCTCTATTTAGACATCACTATTGATAATCAGAAATTACATCCTAAGTATTTAAACTCATGATAAAAATTTGGGGATGTCAACTTAAAACTGTACAAGGAAGTGTTGTTTGTCAAATTCTCTTGGAGAAACTCAAAACTTTTTGAATATCAGTGTTCTAACCTATAAATATTGAATCCCAACAGTTTCTGCCTCTGTAGGGCACACTGCACGAGGGCACACTGCGCGAGGGCTCCCTTCTAGGGGGGCTTTCAAGGGGATGAATGACTTATAGGGAGTGTGAGACGGGGGAGCCTGGGCAGCACCAGACCTGAGATGGGTATCTGGTTAGGCTTCTGCTTCACGTGGCCACAGGAGTCCCCCCTCCTGGTGGGTGGGCCTGGTGCTGCTGGCCTTTGTTACAACTCACCAAGAGGTCAACAGAAGATGAGGGAGCCAATGAAGCTCAGAGACCTTCGACTCCCCACTGAATTATTCCCAAGTGACCAGGGCAGCTCAGTTCTGTACCAAGACTGACAAAGTCAGAGCTTCCTGGGGACGTCGAGGCTCTCTCCCTTCCCTTCCCCGTTGCCCTTAAGCCTCTCAGAGTGAGCATGACCATTGCTGTGTTCTCCCAATTTCACCCACATTGGAAACGAATGTTGACTACCAAGTAAGGGAGTTGTTAAAGTCATCTGCCAGAGATAGGGACTCTGGTGGAAAGGATATTTTTCCACCCCTGGCTGTATGTACTTTTTCTGCTCGGGAAGATGTCAGGGGACCAGGGACTTGGTTTAGACCAAAGATGCTAACTAAGCCTCTCTGCCATTTCACTCTCTCATTCTGAGGAACGATCTCAAGTAGTAACGCAACACAATTCATCATTGCTGTGCAGAGTGCCTACTTTTATTTCGTGGAGGGGCTTCTCCCACCATGTTGATTTTATTTGAATCACCTCCATTCGTGTTCCGAATTCCACATTAAGGTCTGAGTCGGTCTCTACGCAGTTGGCCATTTATCCGCAGCCAGGTCTCTAGATGAAGACTGTCCGAGGTCTCTGAAGCTTGCTCTGTAGGTTCTGCTGCATGGTCTTGTCTGGGAGTGGTGTAGCTTGCAGGGTCCACTGGGTCTGGGCCTGGCTGCTTGTGGCTCTTAGTCTACAGCAATGGCTGAAACTTGCTGGCCCTTCTCGCTCTCTTCTTTCTTCTTGAAGTGGTCGTGACTTTAGGAGAGTGTTTCTTTCTTGAATTTGCATGAAGTGATCTTTTTACCTTGTAGACCTTTGGCACCTGGCAAGGCAACAAGGTGAGCCTGGAGGGCCCTGGGTTGGGAGAAGGGAACGGGGGCGGGGTGGAAGTGGGGCCCTAAGGAGGAGGTTTGTGCCAGGCGGAGGCAGGCGGAGGCAGGATTATCTGGGGATGGGCTGGAGGGGGAGAGGCATAAATGGGGAAGCAGAAGAAGAGAAGCTTGGGTAGGATCATCTGACCTTTTTAGCGCCCCCTGATCTGGACCGAGAGGGGCTCTTCCTCTTCTTCCACCGCTTGGTGTTCCTGGTTCTTGGCACCCATGATTTCTCCGCCACTTTTGCCATGTTGCAGCTGCTCAGTTGTCTACCCCAGGAGTCCTGCTCTCTGTATATATACCCGTCCCAGGACAACAGGGCTCACACCCTTCTGCTTTGTGTGGTCAGCAGGGCACGCACCACAGCCAATGGTGGCCACGGGGAGCTTAGACATCACAAAGGACCACCCCTGGGTGGGGGGTGGGGGGTGGGATGCTTGGTTGGCTGAGATGCTCTAGCTGGAAAAGGCAACTGTGAAAGAGTCTTCTCATACTGACCTGCTCCTCCTCTTTGTCTCTCCACGGTCAATTCTGGTTGTACACATGGCAGAGATGGGTGTAATGCCCAAGTCTTTCCCCATGGTTCATTCTACTGGTTCCCACTCTTTACTGTTACCAAATATTTTATATATCTCACCTGCTTTGAAAAACCTAGGAATCAGGAAATTAGGGGACAGTGTTTGAGGCAGGATGCCCTTCACTGCCTGGTTAGAAGAGATGGCTCTGAAATATAATTCAGGGCCAGGTATGTGTGTGTATGCACTAGGAGGACTCAAGATTAAAGTTCTGGAATACAATTAAAATCTAGGAATATATTTGTGTTCACACATATTATATACGATTGTTTTGGAGACCCGATGAAAATCTTTGGAAAAACATCTTCAAAGGTGCAAGAAATTTAACCTCAAATTTTGGGGATGGCGGGTAAGCAGAGATAGAAGTGGAAGCTCACTCCAAACCAGAACTCCTCTTCTCCCCATCTGCATCTGTACCAGAGCTCCCCCATCTCCCTTTGTGAATGGCAGGAATGACATCCACAGAGATGGAAAGTAGATTAATGGTTAACTAGGGCTGGCAGGAGAGTCGGGGAAATAAGGAGTGACTGTTAATGGGTGTGTGGTTTCTTTCTGGGGTGATGAAAATGTTATGAAGTTAGACTGTGGTGATGGTTGCACAACTAGGTGAATACGCTAAAAACCACGAAATTGTAAAACAAAAAATACTGGGATGTGATTTAGTTATATTAAAATACGATTGTAACTACAAGAAGAGCTGAAACTAGGCAAGGGCCCACTGTAGCTTTAGCTACAGACCTCAAATGGATACCTGAGGCTATGAAATTTTAAGACACAACAAGGGATCAAATGAACTAGGTCTTCACTTCTTCCATGGGGAGAAGTGGCATTTCAGAAAAAAAAAAAAATCTAGCAGTCTTTTGTGAAAATCTGGGAGGAGAGGTAAAAGAACAAGACTGTGGATGGAAGGGAGGGAGGGATGGAAGGAAGGAAGGAAGGAGAGTCGAGTCAGGAGATAAGGAAACATGCATAGGATCACTGTCTTACAGCTTCAGGCATGAGGCCTCTGTCATTTGTGTCATCCACTTGCTGAGTTATAAGGAACTGAAGTAGCTGGAGCAGGGCTGCTCTGCCTCCCAGCCTGATGCCTATTCTGCCCCAGGCTCCAGTCTGGTAAGAGTGAGCCCCACGGGCACCCTTACTGAAGGCCACGGGCAGTAAGGGGCACCCATCTACCCACAGCTGATGCCCCGGGGGGGGGGAGGGGGAAGTGGGCAAACAGTGTAGCTAGGACAGGCTCCGTGAGGCAGAAAGAACAGGGCCTGCTATGTGAACCACAGACTCAGGTTAAAAATAACAGAATCTTATTCCTGACGGGCAAGAAGATGGAATAAAAAGTTTTGTATCTCTCTTGTCATTCCCACTGTGCTGTAAATTAAAAAGTAAAATAAAGCAGCTAAGATGGAATAGACAGTATAACTGTTTTTGTTTTTGAAACAAAAAAAAAAAAACGGAATAAAATTAGGGTCCAATAAAAATACACCAAAAGAGTGGCATTTTCATGGTTATTTCTTCATCATAATTCCATTGCTAGATCTTAACTTTCCAGAAGGCACGGTGATGACCACAAGAGGTACTCAATATCTAGTGCCTTGAACGAATACATAAATGTATAAAAAAATGGATGGGGGATCCCTGGGTGGCGCAGCGGTTTGGCGCCTGCTTTTGGCCCAGGGCGCGATCCTGGAGACCCAGGATCGAATCCCACATCGGGCTCCCTGCATGGAGCCTGCTTCTCCCTCTGCCTGTGTCTCTCCTCTCATTCTCTCTCTCTGTGACTATCATAAAAAAAAAAAAAAAAGGATGAATGTGTTTTGTGTTAGTGTGGTACAGTTATAGATGTTCACTCTTCCCTGTTTTCCAAATTTATTTTTTTTAAGATTTTATTTATTCACAATAGACATAGAGAGAGAGGCAGACACACAGACAGAGGGAGAAGCAGGCTCCATGCAGGGAGCCCGATGTGTGACTGGATTCTGGGACCCCAGGATCACACCCTGGGCCGAAGGCAGGTGCTTAACCACTGAGCCATGCAGGTGTCACAGAATTTTTAATTTTTATTACAGATTTTTAAAAAAATTTATTTGAGAGAGAGCGCGCGCACATGTGTGCATGGCGGGGGGGCAGTGGGGACAGAGCAGAGGGAAAAGGACAAGCAGGCTCCCTCTGAGTGCAGAGCCCAAGGCCGGTCTCCATCCTATGACCCTGGGATCATGACTTGAGCTGAAACCAAGAGTCAGACACTTAACCTGCACCACCCAGGGGCCCTTAAAGGAATTTTTTAAAAAACGGTGTAAGACTACAACCCAGAGAGTACGGCACAGAGGTCACATTTCTGGACGAGAGGACTAGCTCCTGAAGAAAGAGGGCAGGAGAAGAGCAGTACTGAATACGCCCAGGGAGGATGCAGCCAGGGGACAGCCCCCCCCCCCCCCCCCCCCCCCCCGCAGAACCCAGGAGGATGCAGCCCTGGGGAGCACCGGGTCCTACCAAGGTCAAGGCCAGAAGAGCTGGGTATCCCAGCACGCACAGGGAGGAGCTAGATAACTTTTTTAAAAAATTTTTTTTTAAAATAAATTAATTTTTTATTGGTGTTCAATTTACCAACATACAGAATAACACCCAGTGCGCATCCTGTCAAGTGCCCCCTCAGTGCCCGTCACCCATTCACCCCCAACCCCCGCCCTCCTCCCCTTCCACCACCCCTAGTTCCTTTCCCAGAGTTAGGAGTCTTTATGTTCTGTCTCCCTTTCTGATATTTCCCACACATTTCTTCTCCCTTCCCTTATATTCCCTTTCACTATTATTCATATTCCCCAAATGAGTGAGAACATACACTGTTTGTCCTTCTCCGATTGCTAGATAACTTTCTATCAGTGCTGTACAGGGAATGGAGACGGGGAAGAAAAGAGAATGATGATCTATTTTTTTAATTTTTTTTGTCTATTATTATTGCTATTCCAGCAGCGGCCTGCCATGTGGAACCTGGGGCTCCCTTAAGACCTAGGAGAGCATCACGGCACTGGTGCAGGTGCCTCGAGGCAAAGGCTGCAGTGACTGGCAAATCTTTTTTTTTAAGTTTCTATTTATTTATTCATGAGAGACACAGAGAGAGACAGAGAGGCAGAGACACAGGCAGAGGGAGAAGCAGGCTCCACGCAGGGAGCCCGACGTGGGACTCGATCCGGAGTCTCCAGTATCACGCCCTGGGCCAAAGGCGGCGCTAAACTGCTGAGCCCCCCAGGCTGCCCCTGACTGGCAAATCTTAAGACAAAACTTGCCTTCACTTGGGGCGCTTTGTCCTCTGCATCTTAAAAGTTTAACTCCTGCCTCGGCTTTATTTTCTCTTGCAACAGATTAAAAGATTAAAGGCAGCCCAGCCGGCTGTTCCAAAATAAATTAAATCTTAAAATTCCAACAAAAGGGATTAGTCTGATTTACAGAGGTTCTAGAGAGTAAAATTATATATAACAGGTAGGAATCGGGCGGGGGGGGGGAAGTACTTGACTCAGCAAAAGAAATAACCGTCTAATGACTAGGGCGATGCAAAAGTAGGACAGGCTACGTTGTGAGGCAGCAAATCCTGATTCACTGAGAGCCTATGTGCTCATCAGTGTTATAAAACAACTGTCAGCCTCACAGCCCCAGTGAATGCTATTTTTAGTGTATGTTGGGGGAAAAGGGACTTCGTCTTTTTATTTTTATTCAGGATTTATTTATTTATTTATTTTAGAGAGAGAGAAGTGTGTGGTGGAGAGGGGGAGAGAGAAACTTTTTTTTCTTATTTTATTTATTTATTATGAGAGATAGAGAGGCAGAGACGGAGGGAGAAAAAGGCTCTCTCTGGGGAGCCTGATGCGGAACTCGATTCCAGGATCCTGAGGGATCACGACCTGAGGCAAAGGCAGAGCCTCAAGGATTGAGCCACCCAGGTGCCCAAGAGAGAATCTAAAGCAGACTCCATACTGATCATGGAACCAGACCCAGGGCTCAATCTCATGACCCTGAGAGCATGACCTGAGCCAAAACCAAGAGGCTGCCACTTAACCAATTCTATCACCTAGGTGCCCCTTATTTTTACTTTTTAATTGAGTAGGCTCCACGCCGAATGTGGGACTTAAACTCATGAGATCTTGAGATCAAGAGCTGCATGCTCTACCAGCTGAGCAAACCAGGCACGCCAGCAGACTTTGTCTTAGTGTCCCTCTAAGTTGCCCACTAAGCAACTGCTCCTCAGCATCCCAGACACTTCTCTGCCAGTCCCCAGGCTCAATTCTGCTGGTCATAGCCCAGAATGACCGATAGCGTGTCTATCAAAGAACTATTTCCTTGCAACACTGCCCAAGGAGGTATGAGAGGGGCAAGCCTTCTTTAAGAACAATCATTAGTGTAGTATCATGGTTTTATTTAGCCTAGCAATATTTTAAAAAATGATTTTCCCTTGCTTTTGCTTCTGTATGTGTGGTAAAATCTCTTCAAAAGAAATACTCATCGTGCATAAACCAAGTCAGTTATGTAGGATAATCTACATTCCTGATCTTCCTTGTGACTTCCTTTAAGATGGTCACTCCCTCAGTTATACAAGAGACTCAGGAGAAACTGAAATTACTTTCTTCAAGGGCTTGATTAAATTCTTATCCAAAGGTTAATTTTTTTCCTGGCTTGGTCTGGAGGTTGAAGGGCTGTGGGAGTTCTAGGGGTACAAAGATATGTATTGGATACAATCACTTTGCTAAGCTGCTGAAGAGGTGAAGTGGGCTGGAAGTTATACCCATTGGCCTTGGCTCTAACATTTAGTTATTTACTGATTTCTTTGGTCCACCTGTCTCTGCCTCCACTGTATCACAAACCTGGGTTTCTCTTTCTCCAGTTTTGGGTTTCCCTTCTTCTACCAAACAATTTCTCACACAGTTGTGGTGATCTTTATAAAATGTGAATTTGATTCCAATTTTTAACAGGGCTTGGCATGGTCTGGTCCTTGCCTACTTCTTCAACCTCAACTTGTACTCAGTAAATCGCTATATATATCTAAAGGTATATAGATATTCATTCAATGTACATGAATATTTTTATAGTGATTCTTACATAACACACATTGTTCTAGACAAAAGAAAAAATCTTTTCCTCAGGGAACTTAAGGTCTCATTCCTTGATAAGCCCAGTACTTTACTGGGCCTCAGGGCCTTTGCACAAGCTATTTTCTATCTAGAATGCTTTCTACTCATTTCTCATTCCTTTTCTGACTGTTCTATTTAAAGCAGCTTCTTCTACTCTCACTGAAGAACTGTTTATTTCCTTCATAACTTTTATCAGAGTATTATATTTTTGTATTTTATTTTTATATTTTGTTATATACCTATATATATATATTTTGTGTATGTCTGTATTTGTAATATAACCATGCTATGAAGCCAGGATCATGTTCATTTAGCCTGCCACTATATACTTAAAACTTAGCATAATGACCACACAGTAGGGACTAAAAAATCATTGGATTCTGGGTAGTAGTGTATCAAATTGTTAAATTACACTGTACACCTGAAACTAATAACACTGTATGTTGATTATACTTCAATAACAACAAAAAAAAGAATAAAGACTCTAGGTATTATTTTTATTGGAAAGATTCACTGATTACTAAATTATGGCCTGTTATTTCTACCTGTTTACACGTACATTTTAGAAAAAGGTATTAAACATCTTATTTGTAACTTACTGGCAGTCAGATTGGCTACCTGGCCTATATTGTTCTTAAAAAATGAGCCATTTGATAAATACCATGAAGGTGAAAACTCTAATTTTGAAAGACTCCACTGCTATCCCCAACTTCTCCATATGGTGCTAGCTTTTGTAACAATCTAAACATATAAAAAGTATATATAGTTCCCAATACTTATCAGCCTACAGCAATATATGATTATAAGTCATGAGTGAGGGGGGGAAAAAAAACAAATGATGTACTGAACTGGACAAACAGGTTTTTGAGTCTATCAGAGTCCAAAGGTGGCAAAAGTGTAGTTAAAGTGGAGAGAGTAAAAAACACACACTCTTGACAGTTGTGGAAGCCGAAAAGGGAAGTCTCTTATGAGAAATGTGTTTCTATGGGACAGTAGACATTATATTCTGGACCAAGTAGCTGTAGGACTACTTGGACTCACGGACTGCTCTGTTGGTTTCAAAGAGGACCAAATGAGAGATGGTGGATGGATCCTTATAAATGTAGTTCCCCTACTGGAACGCTATGACAAGCACAAGCTCTATGATCATGGGTGAGTAGCATATTTATTATCCTCTTCTATATAAATACCTTTTCATTTTGCTACCAAATTACAGTGAATATTGAAAATATATCCACAAAGTATTGGACTTCCAGACTAGATATAAGAAAAAAGATTTAAACATACCCTCCCATAGCTTCTGAGGGTGTGTTTTTACAAATGGCCAGTCCTCTATGACGGGTAAATCACTAATGCAGTTATAGCATACTGGGCTTCCACATAGAAATTTATTTGAAGAAAGGGTTCTATTACTTTAAAAAGCCTAAAAACAATTTGTTTAAAGGATGACAGAGCTATTACAAATACATTTGAGTTTTCAGAAAAGTTGTAGAACTTCAAAATGCTTTAGCTGAGTTGCATAAATAAGACCAGAAATGATCAAATATTCCATGGCCCACAAAGACCTAAAATAACAAAAAAATTACAAAAATATTTATATCTATGTTAA